AATTATTTGTTCATGTTTAACTTTAAACGTATAACACACGATTATCCCCTGTTTCTAAATGTAAGTGTGTCCGTGTGTGCTCGTCCATGCTCTCCAACGACGTGCGTTACTGTCCGTGCCTTGGCTGCTGCCGTTGTGTGGCAGACTTGGCCCTCCTTCTTCAGCTTTTCTCGCTTTGTGTGGCTGTTGTGGTGTTGGATGTGTGTGGACGTGCCGCAGAATAAGTCGCAAAAAAAATAAAAAAAATAAAAAAAAATCACGCAAATACTTTTTCCCTCGCGCAGCCACACTTCTGTGCATACGTAAAAGGTAGAAGGAGTCTCTCAGTGTCTGTGGGTGTGGCAGGTGCTCTGTAGGAAACTGCGAGGACGGGGATTGTGTGGGAAGGGGGGGGGGGTCTACGTGTTAGAGAGGGCGAAGCGCCGCGAACTCGCATTGTTGTGCGACGGCTATAACAGACGTACACTCGCCGAATCCATGCAGCTGGCAGTAGTGGAGTGTCTGCTTTTCCTCCTGTGGAATGCGGCGGCCGCGAAGTGCGCCCTGTTCTCCGCCGTCCTTGTGGCACCGTTATGGGCGTTTGTTGTCAGACCGCTGCTGCGGCGAATTCGGGCCTCGGCGCGGTGGCGACCAGAGGCGAGAGTGGGCGCCACCACCGCCACTGCAACAGCAGCAACAGCAAAAGCCGTACGGCGAAGGGGCACACCGTCGCCAAAATCCTCTACACGGTCACCGCCAGCGCGCGGTAAAAAGTCTTCGAGTACTGGAAAGGAGCAGACATCCAACGGCGAGAGACATGAAACAGACGCATCCTCCGTTGACGCTGCTGCCGCTACCGCTGCGGCGGTCCTGAGGCAGAGCACGTCTCCGTCGAATTCCATCACGCACGAGGCGCTCGTATCACTCTTTCGATCGCCAGAGTTTGTCCGCTGGTACACCTGCCATCGTGACTCTCTTCTGGAACGGGTGCGGGTGCGGTGTGCGCAACGGCTGTGGGAGTCGCTTGCTGTCATGGTGGTGCTGTTGATGGGGATGTTTTTGCTTCCTTTCTTCTCCCTCAAGAACGATGGTGCAACGTTGTGGGCCCTGCTGCGGCGTCGTGTTGACAGCAACGGAGCGGTAGTGATGAACAACGGGTGGTGGAATTTTCTTGTCAGCACGGTGACTGTGCATGGAGAGCCGTTGCTGCTGCTTGTGGCGGCCGCCACGCTCTTCACGACGGCCTTCATGCCTGTGGATGTGAAGACGACAGCATCCACAGCACTGGCTGCGTTTCTCGTGTTGCTGGCGGAGGCTGCCATGGTGGAGCATATGGCCTTGGGCGCCGGGTTTTTGATGTTGTTGGGCGCCATGGCATGGCGCGTCTCCTGCAGCATTGGCTGAAGCAAACACAAAGGCGTTGGAGCGAGGAAAGCGGACAAAGTGGTGGGGGGGGAGGGGGGACTAGAAAAGGAGAAACTTAGAAAAAGTGGAGAGGATACACCTGCATACATGTTGTTGCGGAGCTTTGTGTCATGGCGGTGTTCGGTTTTACCCTTTTGCCGCTGGGCCGCGGGAGGAACGTGAGCCAAGCGTCCATTGTTGCCGCAGGCAGGTGAATATGCACTTACACGGTATGTTTGTATGTATATATGTCATCCCATATACGCATACATATGTATTACTGATTTGTTTATTTGTAGAGAGAGAGAGAGAGAGACTGTGCGTGTGTGTGTGTGTGTGTGTGAAATAGAGAGAGGGAGGGGGGACGTTGTGTGTCACCCAAAACGTGTTGAGGTGGATTAGAGCGAGGTGGCTGCATAGAAAGATGTGAACTGTCTTTTCTTTTCTTTTATATATGTTATTATTCTTCAAAGTGGGCGTGTTGGTTTCTGCGTGTGTGTTTCCTTCTCTCTGGGCGAGGCTGCCTCCTGCGGTGTGCCCTGCAGAACGCGGCAACGACAGATCAACAAGAAGAAACGAAATAGGAACCGTGGCGGTGGGAAGAAATGGATCACCGCTTTTCAAAACATGAGTACTTTGTGAGCTGCAGCCTCACAATCCTCTTCGCCGGATTTGCGGCTGCCTCCTACTTTGACATCTCCACCTGCCCATACCGCTACACTCGCGGGACTTCCACGGCGGAAACTGGTGGGGGCGGCGGCGCCTGTAAGGCGCACGTGTACGGCAGAGGCGGGGCGGAAAGTTCGCGCTCGCTCTTCGCCTCGGTGGCGCAGGAGGGCGGTCTCACCTGCCATATGGCCGATCTCGTCATTTGGGTCTACATCGTCACCTTGCTGCTGTTCATGTCGCACAAGTACTACTACTACCGGATGCGGGGGCTGCACTACTTTCTGCTGGATTACTGCTACTTTCACAACGCTTGCCTTGTGCTCTTCCTGCTCTGGTACCTCGTCGATGTGCGGTGGTCGCAGGAGCCGCTCGTCTCGTGGGAGGCGTACCTGCCACAGGAGTGGTTGAGTGAACGCAATGCCCGCCTCGCCGGGGCTGCAGACGGTGGGCTGAATAGAAGCATTAAGGACGTCGCCGTGAGGGCGACACCACTGGTCAACCAGACGTGGACAAACTGGGCTCAGCGATTTATTCCCTCCACGGCGTGGCAGCGGCTGCTCATTGTAGGGATTTACAAGCCTGTGTCGGTGGATATCGTCACCATTGGCTACACCGCGGCAGAGGCCTCGAGCCCGGACGAGGTGTTGCTAAACTTCCTCTTGTTCTTTGCACTTGTGGCTGGGAGCTTTGGGCCTATCTTGGGTGCCATTCTGATGTGGAGTAACTCCCTGCTTTTCCACTCCTTTGACCGCATGTCGTCCAGCTACCTCCACCTTGCCCCTGCAGGAACGCAGCTGCTCTTGCTGCACCGCCTCCTCACCTCCGCCAAGCAGGAGCTTGCGTCGATTGATGCCGCCCCCGATGGTGGCAGCCCGGCGCATGCCACTGGAGCACTGTGGCACAAAGTGGATGCGGTCTGCGGCGCGGGAACACTTTGCCATGATATGCGGCACGCCGTGTCGTATTGGACGCTGTTAAAGCTTCACTCCGTGATGTTCATTGCGTGGCAAATCTTTTACCACACCTTCAGCGAGGGGCGTCGCCACAGTCGCAAGAAGAAACATAATAAAAAAATGCAGGAAATCTCCGCTCGGCACAAGGAATTTTGCCGCCTCACAGGCGCAGTCGCGGCGGAGGCGGAGCTGCTGCGCCCCATTCTTGTCCTCTCGGAGGGTATCGTGGGTGACCCCACGCACCGCGCCACGGCGTACACGTGGTTGATGCAGCACCCCCCACTTGGAAAGGAGGGGGTGCTGTACCGCTTTGTCACCATGTTTGGCACCGGGTATCTCCCGACGATGGTGCTGTTTCAGGTAACACAGTGGCTCTTACATGTGGCGTTTTTTACTTTGGCCTACCCTGTCATGCACTACAGCTTTCACGTGGCGCTTTCGGCGGCGCCATTGGCCCTGTATTTGATTTCCTTCCTCCTCTACACCGTGTACAACGCTGCCGCAGTTAATAAGCGGTGGATCCAGAAGCTGCAACGATTGGCGGCGATCGGGATGGAAGCGCAGCGCCAACACACGGGCGCCTCCCTCTCCGCGGCTGCGAACAGCGGCGGCACCGTCGGTCATAGGGAATGACAGCACGCAGGGCTGGGGTGTCACAGGCCAGCAACCCCCCCCCCCCCCAACGCACTGGAAAATGACTACCTGAAAGACCTAAAAGAAGTGTGATTTGCACATCGAAATAAACGGGCAAAATAAATATATAGAAAACCTAAAGTGGGACTTCAGTGATTTGCCTAATGCATGTGTGTGTACCTGTGCGTCTTGTATGTGGCTGCGGCCAGCGTTTCGTGTAGTCATGGCCAGTTGTTTTTCCCAGAGGATGTGCTTGTTCTGCTTCATCCGTGTAGTGGTCTGTGTCTGCCTACCGCCTCCTGCCTTGGAAACATCTTTCTCCCTCCCCCTATCCCTCTCTTACGCTGTTTCCACGCGGGCGCATTCCCCTCAACCCTGCTGCCTGGCGAAGGTGCAACCAACAACAAGACGCAAAGGTAAAGAAAAGGAAGGAAATAAGAAATAAAAAGACGAAAAGCATGCCAGCAAACGCGACGTACCGGCAGGGCGCGGGGCGACAGCGACACCACAAGCACCGCCTTGGGCGCATGCTGGTGCCGCATGGCCGTGTTTCCGGGCTACTCTTCACGGTGAACCCTCGACAGGAATCGAAGGCCCTCCGCGAGCTACAGTTGTACCTGCAGCCCCTCATCGCCGATCTCGAGGAGGCCCAGCGGAAGGCGGAGGAGAAGGCAGACGCAAAGGAAGAAGACAGGACAGGTGCGCCAGCGGACCCGACGCAGCGCAAGGAAGAACCGGACTCGCCGCAAAGAGGCGCGGATGCGGCAGCGCCCGTCCCGCCCTCCACCTCCAGCCTCCTCGAGGCCGAACTGGCCGAGTACGTCAAGGCCGGGGCAGGGGGCCGCCGTGAGGATAGGAGGCGAAGCAGGGCGGAGGACGCGAGCGGCGCTACAACAAACGACGACGACGAGAGCAACGCGGATGCGGGGCGGCCGCCTGCAGGGAAGCGGCGGCGACACGATGCGGAGGCAACCCAACAAACGGCACCGAATTACCCAAGGTGGTTGGCGCAGCTCGAGACGGGTTGCAAAGGACACCTGATGGTCAGTATTCCCTTCCCCGCGGAGGAATGCAAGACAGCAGCTGTCGAAAAAGAAAATGAACCAGCCACGGTGGGGGCTCAGATTTGGACGGAGGGCGCCGCGGAGACGACGGCGCCGCCCCCCGCTTCCACCGAGGAAGCGGAGCGGCATGGCCAGGGCGCGCCGCCCCATTCTATCCTCTACAACCCGCTGGTGCGCACGATCGTGGAACGCATTTTTGACGACATCGAAGAAAACCCGCGCCCGCTCCTGCGAAACTGTTTTCGGCTCATGCCTTGTGAGCTGACGTGCTGCCCCACCCTGCCGGAGATGCGCGCGGGGCTGGAGCGCCTCGTGGAAGCGCACTTTCCTCACACGGAAGACCCCCGACGGCTCCACCGCGTGGGCCTTTCTTTCAAGGTTAAGAACAACACAGGGGTAGAGAACAAAAAGGCTTACTTCCGCGCGGCCCTCGAAGCCGTGTTGCCAGCAAACCGCTTCGTAGTTATTCCGGCGGCCCGGAGCAAGAACTACGACGGCGGGGTGGGGGCGATGTTCTGCGTTCTTGTTGCGCACGCGACGTGCGCGATGGGGGTGCAGCGGCGCTTCTCCGAGCGCGGCGAGTTCAACCTTCACGCCTTGGGCGCCAAGCATCTCGAGCTTTCCTCCTCTGTCTAGCGAGGGGTAAGAGGGGGGGCGGCCGAGGAAGGCGGGACCCGGCGCCGTAATGTTTTTCGATTATTATTTTTTTTTGTTGTTGTAGTTGCCTTTCTTTCCGCCAGCAGCGCGCCTTCCGCCGGAGCCCCGCCGGCTGGGGCCTCGCGAGCCGCACGCGCCACGCCTTCTCCCCGCCCCCTTTGCCCCCCACAAACCAACACACGTCCAAGCACACAGGAAGGAACAAAAAGGGGCGCCTTTCGGCGTTGCGCGGGAATTGGCGGGGCGCCGGGCCCCGTCGCGCCGCGAGGCGGGGGCCGCGGTGGATTCCCCGCCCGCGCGGGCGGGGCGAGGGGTTGGAAGAAATCAGCCCCGAAAAGCCCCAGGGAAAAGGGGCGCTTAGCGCCGACCTCGGGAAGGTTTTTTTCCCCGGCTTCTTTCCGCGTTTCTTTTTTCTTTGTTTTTTAAAATTGTTGTTGTTGGTTTTCTTGTTTCTTCTTTGCTCCCGCTGCCCGACGTCGGGGCGCGGGGGGTGTTGCAAACCCTTGTTAGGAAGGAAAGTGGTTGTAATGGAGAGCGTGTCGCTGTATGAGGGGTCCAAGGCGGCCCTGTCAAAAATCACAAGACCGGATTCTGCAGATGGTATTGCGCAGCTTTCCGGCAAACAGTCAGAAGAGGCCTTAGAACACCTAATGGATATGCTTAGGTTGGACGCACAGCCAGAAGTTATCATCTGCAGGTCAGAAGATGCACTTGTAGAGGCGGCATCCTCCACGCCTTTAGTGATGTTGTTGTGCGAATTCGCTGTGAATTTGAAGAACGAAGAACTCTCACCAATGGAAACCCAAATTCTTCAGACACGGTGTACTTTTATGGCATCATTGCCAGATCGCGTTGCGAATGCGTTGCTGAGCACATTTGGACCCACACAAAGCCTTGAAATTGATGTGGACCTTCTGGTAACACGCATGTGTCAGTCCTTGTATCGGTTTTTATTTGCACTACACGAGGCATCACCAAGCGAAACGGTGCATGTACCATCTAGTATGAAGCGATACGAATTCAACAAGAAAAATGCTCTTCTTGTCTGTGAGGTGTTACTGCAGTCTTTAATTCGACGTGGGTTTATTCGAGCTCTTTTTCAGAGTTTTATCAGTGTCCTGAAAGTGGCATTGTATTCGGTGGTTCCTTTGGAAGAAATAATGATACTTGTATTTAAGGCTGTTTACAAGTGTAACTTTAAAAATGGGGAACTTCTAAGAGATAGCACGAGGAATCGTATACCCGTTAATCTCAAGATAAGTCCGTATTGGTCAGACTGGAATGTATGGTTTTTGCAGGCGGCAGAAAGGGACAATGCATTGAAACCCCTATTCATATCCTCACTACTCAGAATGATTAACATTTCAATCAAAAATGAAGAAACGTCTAGTGACACAATATCTATTTCAAAGGCCTTAATGAAAGAAATTTTTGTAACAGCAACCTCATATTTTCCTACTGAACGAGGTGTTTTACGCGTTATTTTCAGAGATATTCTTCCGAGGATTGTGCCGCAACATTCAGAAGGGGGCGAGGTAACACTTTCAGAAATCAAAGAGACAGCATTTACAGAGTTGTTAAAACGATGGAACAATCGTGATGTAATTGAAAAAGACTCCGTTAAAATGAATAGCACATTGGCCAATTCAGTTTTGTACATGCTGCTTGATATCAAGGAGCATCATGTTAAAGGTGCAAAGGAGCATCTTCCAGCTGTACTGCTGCAGCCCTTGTTGGCTGGAATTTCAGCGCGCTTTGAGATTGTTCGAGCTGATAGCTTGAGAAATGAGGCCATAACTGTGGCTTCAGCGTTTGCAACTTTTTTCGTTGGTGACGACGAAGCGCGGAATGCATTTTCAAATTTAGAGCAGTTTCCAGGTCTTCTTGATGAATGGTTAAAGAGTGAAGTGGATCCAATGAGAAGTCTTCAAGTACCACCGGTTCCGCACATATCAACCCAACAGGATGCCAAAAGTAAAGGGAAGCTTTTTTTATACCGTCGAAGTGTTGATGATGAAGAATATCCGCTTAATCCAGATAGTGCCTTTACTTTTTTTTGTCAAAAAGATTTTGCAACGGTACGACCACATGCTACTTCAAACTCTGGGGGAACAGTAGTTTTCAATCCAGACACAATAGTGGATCATGCACACTTGCCATCTTTTGGGAAAACGTTGAATGAACAAGATGAATTGGAGGAAAATGTGACGGTGCTCGTCACTCTGCGTGAGTCCTACAATGCCATCATGGGCGTGGGACGGGGTAGTAACGTCCAAGCCTACGAAGTTCAACAGGCAATGGAGAGTGGACTTCGTGGATTTGCCCGCGCCTTGAAAACGCTCAAAGACAAACTTGGTGTTTGGAAGGAGCGGAAGGTCAATGGTGAGCTTCTAAGGTCGCGCGAAAAGATTGGAAGAGAGCTCAATCCAATGGTTGCCCCTCTTCTTACAGCACTGATGTCACTCACTATTCATGCCCCAGAAGCTCAGCATAAGGAGTTAATGGATCTGCGATACGCAGTTATGGTTTCGTTAATTACGATTGTTCCAGAGAATGCACTAAGTCAGCTTGGTAAAATGTTGTATTCAAGTCATTATGGTATTTTTCAGCGTGTTGAAATGGCAAAGGCCATTGGTGAGGCGGCAAAATATATCTCACAGGTAGAAGTACGTGTAGACTCAGAAGAAGCAACTTCATGCAAAGGTACAGCTGGGAATGAGCAAGGTATGAAGAAAAGAATTTATCCTCCCATACGAAAAGAAAACGTAACGCCCGTATCGATTATCGTCGCTGAAGGAAAAAAGACTCGACGATGGGGAAATGCGGTGGTAGAAAGAGTGGATCGAAAAGAACGAATTTACTGTAGCTATTTGACAAGTGTGGTATCCTTCTTTGTGGGATCACTTTTAGAAAAAGCTGAAAATGATCATTTCTGCTTCTTCCGTGAACATGACCCGTATGCCCCGACGGAAATACTTCGAAGTATTGGTACAGTAATACAATGTATAGCTTCGGCTCGTCATGTTGCACCAGCCCTTTGTGAGAATCTTATGTCGTTCGCCATACAGGTTGTAACGGAGCATCCAGTTTCAATTGTTCGAAAGCAAGGATGGGTTCTTATTGGAGAAATTATGCGGTGCTGGTGTGGGGCAGGTCCGCTTTTTCCGGAAGAAGGCTACTCCTTTAGGTCTCGTAGTGTTTTTGGAGGCTCCTTGTCGTATGTGTTTTCGCAGCAATGGTTAAATGCTCAGCAGGCCTTGGAAGTTATAGTTGCCAAAAGCAAGGGTGATCCGAGTTGTATGGAAGTTGCACTTTTGGTTCTTGCCGATCTGCATGATTTGTTTACGGCAAAACAAGATCTGGAAGTAATGGAAGGTCGCGTGCTCAATACACAAGTGATTTCCATCGCATCTGACACCAAAAATCGTATCCGTCTCGTTTGAGGTATTTATAACCAAACTTCTATGGTTTACTTGGGCATTTTCCGTTGTGTGTGTTTGTGTTTTGTGCTTCTTATGCTTAGTATGGCGACGGTGTTTTTTTTTTTCTCTCTTTTTTTTTTGCTTAATGAGGCGTTTCCACCAAAATGTTTTTTTTGTGTTTTCTTATTGTTTGATTTCCCTTCTTTGGGAAGTGCGTTCTCCATTATCTTTCTTTATTTCGTTCTATTGTTTTTTTTTCTTTTATTTTCAATATATATATATATATATATATATATCTTGGGGTTTCTTCCAACAATGGGCACATTGGCGCTGGTGTAACGTTAATAATATAGAATAGCCATTTGTGTGTGTGTGTGTTTTTTTTTTTACTTCACAGAGGAGGGAAGGGAGAGGGGGAAATAGGCACATTCTACTCTAATGCGACGTTTTCTTCTTTATTATCGAGAACTGGGTGGACGAGAGGCGTTTGTGCCACCACGGCGGTTCTTGCGTAGAAGAGAAAGAGCCAAGAAGGAAGAGGTTGAATCCGTTGGTTCAATGCATGCTCCTTCTCTGCGTGTTGGGGGCCTGATGGCGGCCCCTGATACTTCTCTAGATGATATTCGCTCGGAAATTCTTCGTATGCGCTCGGAGCACACAATTAGCAAGAAACCTGCTCATGAGAACCAGGCTTCTTCAGGCACGCAAGGGTCAACTGTGAATGATGCTTGGAGTGACATGATGAAAAAACTTCATCCAAATGAAATCTATGGCAAGGGGTGTGACGTCGTTGAACGTATAAAGGCAAAGGATCGTGCAGTTAGAAGGCAACTATTATTGGATGCCGATGAAGTCTTGAGAAAACCAAATAAAGAAGACACAATTCGTTATCTGCAGTTGGTGTATGGACGCATTGGATCTCATCATCGTGAAGAAGTGATGGAGACTGTGAAGGCATTGGTACAGTCCGTTGAGGATGAGGCACGAGAGATACAAGGGAAGATCCAGGCGCATCGGGGGGTTCATGTATCTCTTGTGGAAGACGATAGTATCTCCCCGGATGAAGTAAAACAGATGGCGTGGGTAAATGTGTTGACAAACATGTCTGATGAAGCGTTGCAAGAGCTGTGGAAGTGGGGTATACTGGACTTTGACACGATCGAGTCGCTGGCTTGCATGGATGCGGAGAAAGACCTTCATACGGTGGATGTTGAGTTGAAGGAGGCCAGTGAAGCAAAGCAATGGAGTGCCACTAGTACAGAGGAAAGCGCTGCAAGTCGTAACGAGGATGACAGTCTCGGCTCACCAAGCCCTTCTCTCCCTATTGAGCACAACATTGAGGCGCTTAAGAGTGTCGGTGAAATCCCTGAATTTACGGCAACCATGTACGAGAATTTATTTCTAGGACTCCCAGACATTGACTTGGCACCTGTCATGCAAAAGATTCAAGAAAAACAGTATGAGAGCATTTCGGAACACGAGCTGCGCCTGTTAGAGCGTTATGAGGAAAGCAAACAAATTATTAAACTGTCGGCACCGTCTACCGTTACTCCTGCCTCGAACAAGGCTACGTCGGGTGAAGGGAAAAATGTGGAGGTGGAAACTGCCTTACGCGACCGCGTTGTCAACGGCATCCATTCCGTGTATGAAAAGACGCCTCCTTGCCAACTTTCCCTCACCGAGGCGATGATGGACCGTGCGCTTTCTCCCTCAAATCGATTTTTGCACGCCGTGGCTCGTCATGATGCGGCGCTGCACTCCTCGCTTGAAGGTATGGAACGAATTAAGCGGCGTGCACTGCTCGATCCCATCTTTCAAGCCGCAGTGGAAGAGGCACACATGTGGGGGGAGATGTCTCTGCAGCCGAAGCTTCAAAAGTACAGTGCCAAGGGAAAGGGTGAAACACGCAAGCAACGTCAACTGCGACGTGCCGAGGGTGGTGCTGCACCGCTACTTGGCGGCCCGCTCGCCAAACCCCAGCATGCTGCGGATATCCCGTACTACTACGGTAATGTGCGCAGCTTCGTGCCACCTCGAGGGCGGTATAACATGCCAGCACCTCGTCTTTCGCGGGAGGAGGCTGCGCAACTTCGGAACCGAAAACGCAAGCAGATGAAGTCACGCGTGCGTTATAGCCGGTAGCAACCACATAATCGCAACGCGTGGAAGTAAAACTAGTCTCTGTACTTGTATGTGTGTGTGAGAGGGAGAGGGGGGAGGGTTGCATATATGCATAAATAAATAAACGCATAAATCACGCTATTCCATGCTGCTCTGCTCTGCTCTGCTCTGCTCTTTCTTTCATTCTTTTTTTTTTTTCTTCTGTGTGTATTTTTGTTGTTCTTCTTCTTTGGTTTGCTTTGTTCTCATTTGTTTTGTTTGTGCGAATACCGTCGGCATACCTGTGAATCAGCTTGACCGGCAACACCTGCCACCGCCTCTGCCATCGTTGTGGTGTTGCACGTCTCAAGTGACAGGGGTGGTTGCCTCTGCGCCGTGCAGGTATTCATACATTATTTATTTTCTCACGCCACGCAACACACACACACACAAAAAAAAAGGAGAGAGAGAGAGAGAAGGAAGTGATGCCCTCCAAAAATGATGTTAAGGAAGACAATTACACTCCAGAGGAACGACTGACGGCGGCAGCTCTCGAATACAAAAAGTTGGAGGCACAAAATCAATCTAGCATTGAACGCATGTACGGTGCCCTGTCCTCACCCTTCAAGGTTTCCAGCAAGCCATGTGAGGTCTCGCGTGCGGCGGTGTTGCGGTGTTTTGAGGAAATCCTGGGCAAAAAAGGCGATGGTAACGACGAGGGCAGTGTTAATCCTACCGAAGCCACAGCCTACAGTAGCAGCAACGGCAACGGCAACGGCAACGCCAAGGACAACGGTGCTGGTGGAGTTGCCTCCTTCCCGCCCACCTCGCGGTTTCCCCCGGTGCACCGCTGCTACGATGTAGTGCTGCAGTACGAGTCGTGTGTGTTAGATAAGGCGCTTGCGCAGCACCACAGCCTTCTTGTAGACTTCGAGGCTCGGCAACAAGGGGAGATGCAATTGGCCAAGGAGGCAGAAGCCAGTGCCTTGCGTGGTGCATGAGCGTGTACGCTACTGGGCGGTGAGGTGGCGAAGGGAAGACAAAAAGCGATGGTGGCGATAACGAAGGAAGAGGAAGGAGCAACCGGTTTGTCTGAGAGTCACGTCGCAGTTCACATCCCTCAGCGGAGGGAAACAGCTGCGAGAGGTGGGTGGGAAGGCTGGCGGACGTGACGCGTGGTGGTGTTTCTACCTTCTCTTTCTTTTTTGATGCTCGTTATTTCTTTGTTTGTTTGTTCTTTTTTGTTGTTATTATTATTATTTTGTTTTTCTCTTCTTGTCGCTGGTTGTGTGTTTGCTCGATGCCGCTCTGACACAGTCGTGCTTTGACTGCCCACACACACACACACACACACACACACACACGTACCAAGCGCTATGGCACCGAAGAAGAAGCATGCGCCCAAGAAGGAGTTGACCGCGGACGATATGCGGCGTCTTGGCATGTCGGAGGACGACATCGCCCGCATTTTAGCCGAGCGAGGCAAATCAGCCGAGGAGCGGCGACAGGAACAGGAAGCCGTCGAGGCGCGACGCCGGGAGACTGAGCAGCGCCACAAGCGCATGAAGGAGCTGGAACGGATGAAGGAAGAGCTTGTGCGGCAGGAGGGAGGCCCCCGTGTCGCCATCCGTGACGAGGAGCAGAAAGTGTGGGAGGAGCTCGAGGGGACGCTGACGACGGAGAAGAAGCGGCGGCTGCGGGAGTGTGCGGAGAAGATGCTGCAGCAGCGTGTGGCGGAGGCGCGGCGCAAGCGCGAGGCGGAGGCGGCGGCGTACCAGGATACCCTCCAACACCTCACATTGGAGGAGCGGGAGGCCTTTGTTGCGGCGCAGATTGCGGCCGAACACGCTCGCTGCGAGGCTGAGCTGGAGGCGAGGGAGAAGCAGCAGCTGCGGGAGGAGCGACGCCTCGCGCGGGAGCGGGCGGCACGCAAGGCTCAACGCCAGCGCCGCCGCCAGGAAGGGGAGGAGGATGACGAGGTCTCGGATGAGGAGGACGGGCAGGCCGGTGGCGGCGGTGGTGGTGAGGTTAAGGCTGCTCGCAAGCGAGTGGATGCGTTAATCGAGCTTTCTGACGCTATGCAGGCCAAGTACGACTGACCAGTCCAGGGATAGCTTGTTGCACGCTCGAGGATGCATTCTAGGCGTATTGGTGTCGGCCGCGAAAAGAACCTCAAACCCATGCCGGGGACGGGGGTGATGCAGCAATGACAATAAACGACAAAGGCAAGGAGAGGAAGTAGTTACGGGTTTGAACTGCGAAAGGGGAGTGGGGGGGGGGGGGGGTTCCAGCTGGGCTGCCGCTGCCACCGCGTCATTGAAGGGGGAGACAGAGCGATGGAGGAGTTACTGCTTCATCGCTTTGCCGCTGTTGTAGCATCCGCCGTGTCAAGCCACACTCACGCACGCGGGGCATACGCGCACCGTGGTGAGCGGTGGAGTTGTTCACAATCATCACAGAGCCCGGCGAGGTGAAGTCACAGTCGCTCCTCTCTCCCGTTTCGAGGATTGTGAGTTGCCCTTCCTCGCTTTGCTCTGAGATGCAGGTGGGCAGCCGGTTTTGCAGCGCTGTTGACATCCAATCGTTCCCGCCCGTTATGCTTTACTTACCCACGCACTCATGCAAAGACACACAACACATAAGCGCGGAGGAGGGAGAAGCGTGAAGGCACATGATAAAGGTCAAGCAACACAAACAGGAGCGAGGAAGATAAATGAAACGAACGATGATGAGTCGTATCACTTTGATAGTTATTTAATTCTGGTTCTCTTTGTTTGTTTGTTTTTGGTGTTTTATTATTATTATTATTTTGCGT